AGAAAAAAATTTGTATACAAAAAATTAAAAGTTTTTACTTAAATAAAAAAAATTGGACTAAAATAATAGAATAAAAATTTATTTCCTTTTCTGCAGACCGACCCCTCCAAGCCCGTTTTGGTCGCTGGTGACAAAGAGGACTTGAATATGAAAGCGGTGGACAAAGCTGGYGGCATCCAGTACTTGGAAAATCAACTAAAGACTTGTGCGGCTTTAGCCGAACGCTTAAATATTAAACCGTTAAGCTTTAATTAAGTAGCTAAAGACAAACMTACATTGACATACGTTATGGCTTTACAATCATTGCATTTTATATATGTATATGTAATTGCATTTGCTGTATAAACTGGCAGCACGTACACATAACGGTACAGTGTCAGTGCTAACATATCCATGATGTGCCTATTGATTATAAAATTTAGTATGTAAATTATTATTTTTTTGTTATTGCATTTTTAAGCGCATTTCACTTATATACTAAATTGTATTTTTTTTTTAAATTCTAACAAAGAACCAAAGTAATATAAAAAATTTACAAAAAACAAACGAGCTTTTTGATTGAAGGTTTAAGATAGAACGCTGCAGGCACTAAAGCTTTTAATTAAACTTGGCTTTTTATTTGTATTATTTAATATATATGTACATATTAGGGGGGGTCAGAAAAAATCCTAATATTTTTATTTATTATTTTGTTCACTTATTTAAAAAAAATATATTTTTATTACAATTTATTAAAGGTTTAGATTCAATTTATTAAAAATTGAAAAAAGCAATTATTTTAAGGCATGCTCAGTAAAAAAATATTATATTAATTAATTACTTGTGAACGGTGAGATTTACGAAAAAATTGTAAGAGAGCATTTTTGGTCTTTAAGAGGCCAGAAATTATTTTCTGATATATAATTTTTTTTTTTTCAATATTAAAGGCACAGTAGGTAACTGAAGAGCGGAAGTTAGCTTTAAGTTAACATCTCCCTAAGTGCTCGAACTTGGAAAAAAGATTTTTTGAGTCGTCCACCAATCAATTTTTGAGATTGTAAGCTGGAAAAAATAATCGAYTCTTTCGACCCACCCTATTGTATACCATATTTATGTACAGAATATATATTTTTCATCAACAAACAACACATTGTAGGCACATGCTATACACGTATTTAGTCGCGACTTTCAATTTTATACATTCAAGTGTTGGGAATTTGGTTGATAACAAAAGTAAAGCAAATATTTGTTTTTGGATCTAAAAGTTTTTGTTCGCATTTGCTGATTGTAAATAACAGAMGGTGTCCCTAAAATTGTAGATAATTTTGGAAACTGTCGGTAAGTTAGAATACTATGWCGAACTGATAAGTAGTTACTGGAGTTTGTACGTATGTATATTTGTATGTAAAGAACGAAGCTTTATATATTTTTCTTCGTAAAAGATGCAAACAAACAACGCCAACGAGTTTATGCTTTTATGTGTTTATGGCAGTGAGTTTAATACATAGGTAGATACAAGTACGGGTAGGTGTWTTCGATTGAAAACAAGATTATTTTAATTATTAGTGGTGAATTTTACACCTATAACGAGGCTTTGACTTTACTATAAGTGTATACACTTATTTATAGATATGTAATTCAAGGAAATATAAAAATTCTAACATTTAATTATGTGAAACTAATGCTAATTTTATAAACTAGCTTTTAAGGCGATGATACCATCTGATCAAATTTGACAAAAAAAAAAAAAAACATTCTCATATATTTTAACGTAAATCTTTATTATCGCCGTAAAAATAGGCTCTTAAGCCAATACAAGTATACCAATGCGTAATAAGTATAATTTCCATACACTTGTCATAAAGGGGATGTTGTCAGCTGGGATGTTTTTTTTTTTTTTTCAGTTTCGACTCATTCATCTCGCTAGATTGTTTAAGTTTTTCACGACCTTCACTAAWTGCTTTGTTCCACTAAAATACACGTGTTAAAGTAGACTTCCCAAAACACGTCTACAAAATTTTCAGTCCTGGCCATATTTGATCACTTGGTATTTCGGTAGATTTGAACGCCTATAAAAGTATAATTTGATTTTTGGTATCTATCTGAATGAAAAAAGAGATGAGGTTCCTAAAAGCTGGTGATTGCCTTCTAACCACTATCGATTATTAAGGAGACTAATTTTGGTATCAGAATCATGGTTGGATATTGGTTTCTTTGGATGATCCGAAAGTTTGAGACTCTAGTTAACCAAGAGTTAAACAAATGTCCTAATGAGTAATGCCCACATTTAACAATATTTCTGTAGAAAACATACTCATATCCATCTATTCCTTAGAAGTGTTATGATTTTCCCAAATTAGACCTTTAAGAATACACTTCTGAAATATAGTCATACATTTTTCTACACTCCCTGGTAGTTTTGGTCAAGACACATTATTAACTTATATATTTTCGGCACGAAGATCACTATCATTATTTTGTTCATAATCTTCGCTGCAAAAATATCCTTGAGCATAATCATTAACACTTTTGACAGTTTGAAAACGACGACGTAAATATTATTATTCCCTCAGCGCAAAAAAAATACCGAGAAAAACAGTCAATAGCATGTACTATTAGTATTAGGAATCAAAAATCTGAGTAACAGACTGAGGAATTAAATCATAAACATCGCACTTTTAATGCTAAACCATTTGACTTTTTATATTTTCAAAGTCCGAACAAATTCTCAGGACCTCGAGTTCTTTGTTTTAATATCTCAAAATTTCGGAACKCACGTAGAGGTGTGTGATTAATATAAACGTCAAAACTTGGGAACGGCTTCATCGATTAAATTCTGATTTTTCTAATAATTTTAAAAATCTACTTACGGCAACATATAGTAATTAGAAAGGGAGTGGCTAGTTACTGAAAAAGGCATTGGGACTAGTCCTTTAGATCTTGAGATATCGATGCAAAGTTCTGCAAACGTAATTTGCTCGTCTAGGAGGTTCATTTGGCGGAATCGATATTAGATTTCTGTACTCCATTACTGCCATCTAAAGTGATCGACAAAACCAACAAACCAGTCTTTGTATGGAAAACTTTTTTATTGGACGAAATGTATATTTTCACGAAATTCAGCATCGGTTACTGTTAAAGGAGGCGCTACAATCTCCGCGCATATTGTTGAGATCGGAACACTGTGGCGTATATCTATAAAACCAAAAATACCTTCCTTTTTATTTTATAAGAAATACAGATGTGAAGAGTATTACAGCTTCGACGCAAGTAAAAATGAAGATTGTTCCTTTTTTTGACTGTCAAATATTTGTCACACGGAGTATCAGGGGACCTTGATCCCCCTAGAAAGTGTGAATAACTTAGCGCTTTGCTATTACAGTACAACAACACAGCGTTTCGTAGAAACAAGTAAGCGATAAATAAACGCTGTAACGAAATGCATGCTTAGCCGAAAAATAAAATTTCGCGCTGACTTCGCCTCGCATGACGTCATCTTAAGTGTCCAGATCATTGTGGGCGAACTCACATGACCATTAGGCAATTACTTACAAATAAAATAATTCTAAAATACCTAATTGAATAAATGCCATACCCGAGTCGATGCATTGCGATGGGGAAAGATGACTGCCTTGTTGTTTTTGCATGATGCTATGTGCTTGTGTTGTTAAATAAATGCTAAATGGCGTACAGTAGAAACAATTAGGTTTAATAAGAATATCGTGCTTAGAAAAATATAGAAAAGTAGCCATATTAGGGTGGGCCAAAGAAATGTTTATTTTAATTTTAATTTTTTTTTTCTTAAAAATCTCTGAAATGTCGAAAAACTTTTTTCATAAATATTGAGCTCTTAATATTAATAATATAGTGTATATTTTTGATTTTCCAAATAAAAACTGTTAGAGAAAATGATCTCAAAAGATCTTTAAGTGATTGAGATTTTCGATTTACTTTTCAACGGGGAAAGAAGGTTTACAGTAAACATAGCAAAATCTCGTTGGCGTAAAAGTATGTTAGTTGCGCAAAACAAACTAAACAGTTATACGAATGGTTCGAAAATGGAGAATGGAGTTGGTGTGGGGATATATTCTCCGGAGTAAAAAATCAGCCAGTATTTTAAGTTGTCGGATCACTGCAGTATATTCGAAGCAGAGGTCTTTGATATTGTGAAAGCCGCGGAGCTAGCCTCTATTACACCAGCAGGCAACTCCAGAGTCAATATCTACGTTGAGAGCCATGCAGCAATCAAGGCAGACCACGTAGAGCATATCGGCCAGAAGTGTCTTGGAAAGCAGCGCAGCAGTGTAAAGTATCGCCAGAAGAAAGCGACTTCACTTCTAGGTACTAGGCCTTAAAGGCATCGAGAACAGTCTATGTGTGGCACATTAGCCCAATCTGACTAACCTAAACTGAAAGCGAGATATGAATTTTTTTACCTGATAATACAAAAAATTTAAATCCGTTAGGCGGATCAGGCCTATTTTATTTTTTTTAACCCACCCTATTTTCTATATTCATATGAAAAAATGCAAATATATGTACATTTGCTTAAATAAATATTCCACAATTCAAGTGTATGTATGTATGTTTGCTGATAAACATTGTTTCAGCGTTGGCGTAATTTAAGTTCATCACGTATGGCAATAATTACTTGAATTCTTGGACATACATACATACAAACAGATAACTTTTTCTACTGCAAATCACAAACAAAAAGCTCGCATATCTCGCTTTGGCAATGTACCTTCATAGACACGTTAAGTTGAACCCTCCGAGGTGAAGCAACGACTGAGTTAAATTATTATTTTTTATTATTTCCCGTCCATCTTCAAATACTTGCCATACTTGGAACACCACAAACAAATGTTTTTTTTTTCATTTTTCTAGTTTTTTTTGTACGCGCGAAATTCCATTTTTACGCGCTGAACTTTCAAGCAACCGGTGCCAGTCACCTCGCAGTAACTGCGGAGAACGGATCAAAACAAAACAAAAGAAAATCACATTTTCATACATATACACGGAATTGTATGCAAAATTATTCGTCGTTTGTTTTTATACGCGCATTCGCTCTCACAATGCCGCTGCACGACTACTAACAGCCCATCAACGACCCAACCAACGTTTATGCAACCCACATGCCGCGCCCTCAACCACTGGCATTTGCGGCCCGGCGCACAACGCGCATCCCAACAGCTATTCGAAAATGTGCGAGTTCGAATTTCGAAGAACGCCAGCTCCAAGCAATCAAACGAAATATGAACTGTGCGTACACAACAGATGCCGGACACTGC